ATAGATAATTAAAATATTAGATATCAGAAAATATGTACTGAAATCTTATAAAAGTAATGCTCTTAGCATTATAATAGTGAAAAATATGAACCAGAGTACCTTTTTTAAATTAGCTAAATATTCTTGACAAGCAAAGTCTTTCAAAATGTTCATGAGTGGCAAGTTAATTTGTTTCCTGTTTTGAGCTATTTTGTTTTTCCAGAGTTGAGCTGCACTACTAAATTATAGCACTTATATATTAAGTCTCCAGTTTCCTAAGATCTTTCCTAACAAAATAAAATAAAAAATCTATCTACTTGATCCATAAACACTCAAAGCATGTGTTAAAATAAGCTAGGTGGACTATGCACATCCAGTAAGAAATAGTTTGTTTTGCCTTTGTATATATTTTATTATAATGAAGCTGAGTTGAAATTGACCACATAGATAATATAATGGACCTAGTAATTTTTTTTTTTTATTTTGTTGTTTCCTTTAGTATGTTGGCTAAATTACATCCTACATTAATATTTTTCCTTTATATAATGTATTGCCCTCTTTTGAATAGTTAACATATTGCTTACTATTCATAGAACTCATGTGCTTTTAAACAACTTTGCCTGGGACATGGAGTTAATTTTATTGTGAGGCAGTCAGACTTTTTTTTAAGACACTTTAGGGAAGCAAAAACAATGCATGGCTGCTTGCTCACAATTATTGCCTATGAAAAGCTGCTTGGCCCAAATGAATGCAAAACTTCAAATTTTACCTTCATTATTGAACTGAATCAACTGGACCTAGTTACTATTTAAATAAGAATATGGTTTATGAACACATTAACTACTTTAGAGTAATTACAATAAATTTTTAATTATTAAATTTTAATTACATTGAACTGTTATTATATGTACTATTAATGTGAATTATTTTAAGTTAATATATGTTTCATACTAATTGAATAGAAATTTTATTCAAATATTTTAGCCCAGCAGGGTTGTACACTTTCCCTGTCAAGATAAACATATTAAAGAGAGAACAGGGATAAGAATTTAATTCAGTTAGCTCTACTTCTGCTTTGACCATTTATTTATTGGTGACTTTTCAGGAAGTTTACTCAACTTTTTTATAGAATAACATTTACCACCTAAGAGATCTTGGGAATTAACAAGCAAAATGTCAAACTGCTGTGGTGCTTTGCTTTAAAATACTATAGGTTTGGGGAGAAAGATTTGTTGTCTCACTTTAAAACAAAGCCTGCAACTACAAGCAGATTTGGAAGAATTTAGAAATAGATACAAAACCTAGTAGACTGATAGTGAACATGCAAAGAATCCACTTTGCATGATTGCTAATTTCCTCATTTAAAAGGAAAATTTTAAATTAAATAAGGACAGTCTTCTCACTAGCGTAGCATTGTAAAACATTTCATTGTGATATTGTTATTTCATTTTTGGTCACTGAAGTAATGAGGAGCAAAGCAAATATCAGGTAGCAGGGAAAAATAATTTCAGACCTTTCCTGGGATTTAGACATTCACAGATTCAGATCATTTTAGTTCAACAAATATGTAATATGTGTCTGCCCTCTGCTAAAGAATCTAGAGGCAACACAAGAAGAAAGCCCACATTAGGATATTAACCTTAGCCTTGGCCAATGAATTGTGACAATTACAGTAATTTCTGAATCCTGAAGGTTTGCCATTTAAGCAATTGGAGAGGAAGGAAGAGATTAGCCAGTGACAGATAACAGTTGAAAATTCTCTTTACTCCAACTACTACAATTTTTCCTGTGTCCCAACTCAAGATTCAGATTGTCCTTGAATCCTTATTAGTTAACATACATCCAGAGTAGTATTTTTTATTATTTTGATTTTTAAATAAAATAAATTTTAAAAAACAAAAAAGAAAAGTACACATTTTTCCAAAAATTATATTCTAATTATTTGATGTGTGTACATTTTGTTTCCTAAACTGAATTTTAAGAAACAAATATTTTTTTTCTATTTGTATATATACACACACACAATTATATAAACACACACACACACACACAAATGCTTAGCCTTTACATTTTAGTCACATTAGCATATAAAATGCTCTTAAATAGATGATTAACTGACAAAATAATCAATGCAAACATACAGTTTGAAAGATTCAGGATAAATAATGTTTTTATTTGGTGAATGATTCTACATAAAAAACAAATTTTTATATGTACATCAGATTAAGACTTAGAAATGTTAGAAATTAATTTGTCAAAGGGAGTTAACTGATTTATCAACTACCTAAAGAGGCAGACAGCGTTTGGGTGTGAGAGATATGGTGGAGGATGATTGAAAGAAATTTTATATAGTGTTCACCTAGATGTAAAAATACAGTGTTTTAATTTTTTTCCATGAAGGAAAATTATCTTATTTCTATCATAGCACAATTCTGTAGATAGATAGATAGATAGATAGATAGATAGATAGATAGAAGGTACTAAAAAGGTAGGATGTTATTTTGAGATGATTTTGAATTAGTAGAAAGGAAAAGGTATTACAAAGAATTGGAGATATATGGATAAATAATACTTACACTTGAGTTCCTTACTACATCATATGATTATTTCTGAAAGAATTCCCCACGCAAAGACACTTCGCCGGGAGAATTCCAATTTTATTGCAAAAAGCAGTGTGCTTATATAGAACTAAGGGGGAGATGGTAGGGCTTAGATAAATGGCAGGCAACCCGTTTATTGGCAAGTTCTTTCAGATATCAGCTCCGGAGCCCAGGAATTAGTTCTCATTGGGGCTAAGGTTCCCCGCCAGCGAGATTTGAAATTGGCGCCGGCGGGAGAGTTCACACGGGCGGGAACTTTTCGCGCCACTGCAGAAAAGAAGAAGGTAGGAAGAAGAGGTGCTTAGGCGCCATGTTGGGGTTTTTTTCTCTGGGGTATGGCTGCCGTTTATACTTTTCCCAACAATTTCAACTTCCTGTGAGGTGTGCAAGTAATACTTGTCCTTTTATAATAGGAAAACTGATGTTCAGAGAATAATTTGAGAGTCCACAGCTCCTAGACAGGTACTCCAGAGCCTATAAATGATCTATTTCCATAAACACTGTTGTCTTCTATTTTGGAAAATAACAGACCTGGATACAGTGTCACACACCTGTAATGCCAGTGACTGGGGAGATTGAGGCAAGATCGCAAATTTGAGCCTGGCCTGGGCAGGTTAGTGAGACCTTGTCTCAAAATAAAAGAGCTGAAGATATACACAGTGGTAGAGTGCCTCTGGGTTCACTTTCCAATATTCTAGTCACACACACACACACACACACACACACACACACACACACACGGGGAGGGGGGGAAGAGAGAGAGAGAGACAGAGACAGAGAGAGAGAGAAGAATAACAGTGCTAAGATTACATGTGCCAAAATGCATTTTCAACTGTACTATCTATGGCAACTTTGCCACTTCCTAACTAGGTTAGCATGGGTAAATTCTCTGATTTATCACTTCTCATATTCTAGAATGGGTCCCTGTTGACTCTTAAATTCTAAAAAATTAAAATTAGTCTAATAAAATTACAACTTAAGTAAAAACACTAATCTGAAATGGGAATTCGATTCATTAGTAACTCATTTTAAATTTTTTTTCTTTGAAAAATATGAACTTCTATGTTGAGTCACTGAAAACTTATAGAATGAGAACGTATGATTATTCTTAGCACTCAAATTATGGTCTCTAATACTGTTTCTCTTGAAAGAAACCAGGGATCAGAGTAATGACTAATTTTATTTCTGGAACAGGATGTACATAAGATGAGTTCAAAACATATAAGAAATACAAAAAAGCTATTGAAGACAACTAGGGACATATCAAAATTTAGGAGCCCACTTAGTTACTGCTGAGCAACAACTGACAATTTGAACATCAGGACAATAACTGCATTACATTGGACCCCACATCAAATGTTCATATCCACCAGCTTATAATGCTATTTAGAGAGAGAGAGAGAGAGATGGGCTGGGGATGTGGCTCAAGTGGTAGCGCACTCACCTAGCATGCATGAGGCACTGGGTTCGATTCTCAGCACCACATAAAAATAAAATAAAGATATTGCATCTGTCTAAAACTAAAAAATAAATATTTAAGAGAGAGAGAGGCGGGGGTGGAGAAGGTAGTCATTGGTTACTTTTGGAGTATACTAGAAAGAATTATTTTTTAAAACAGATTAAGGGAAATTATATGCATTTACTTCATCTTTCCCATATGGACTATACCTCTTGCTAATTAAAAATAAGTAAATAAATAAATAAATAAATAAATGGAAGTTGTTCTTTATGTATTCCTCCTTAGAAATGAAGAAATAATAGAATTGGGTTACCATTTTATGATGAGTAAAATAATGATCATTGATAGTCTCTAATATTCAGAAAAGAACCAGATATTATATACCTCTTGATGAAAATTTATAGTTCCACCTATGCAATATTTTTGTCAAGAAAGCGAATTTTATATTACCTCTAGATCCAGTTCATAGGAATACAAGGTACAACAGAGGAACATGAAAGCATGGAAATGTAACCAAAAGTCAAATGTAACCAAATGATACTCTGTATCATTTCTCAGGAGAAGAATTACTAAGAAAAGAGATTAACAACTGGGAACTTTAACAACTGTGGACTTTACTTGAATAATGATTCTAATAAAAAAATCATGGAAAAATGAATGTATTATGGAATTACTAATTTTCATGTGTGATAATGCCATTCTCGTATTATTTTTATTTATAGATGAAGCTCGAAAATTGTAGAATTTGATTCAAAATACTCTAGTATTGGGGGCTAGGGAGACAATGACCGTTATTAGTTTTTGCAGTGGGATGATAAAGCTGTAACATTATTAATCTTTACTTAAAACATTTTATAATAAAATGGTAAATAAAACTTATCAATTGGAAGGTATTTAGTTATCTAACAATCTTCTTCAAAGTAGTATATTGCTGTATTTTAAAACAATTTCTTTTTGAACAGGGTGCATATGGTCCATATTCTCCTGATGAGTGCATCTCTTTACCTGTTTACACAAGTGCTGAAAGGGATCGTGTGGTAACCAATATCGATGTTCCATGTGGAGGTAACCAAGACCAGTGGATTCAGTGTGGAGCAGCTCTATTTCTAAAAAATCAATAGAGGCTAGTTACAACAAAGTGTCTTAGCAAAATGAAGAAACTGTCATTTAAGCTTTAAATAAAATATATAATCAGCCTACAGTTGAATTATTAGTTCAAAATGTTAGTATATAGTTATTCTATATTATTGGTCTCCTTGGATTTTTATCTTAATGTGTAATAACAGCATTGGCTAACTTTTAAAGTAAAGAATTAATATTAAAATGGAGGATCCTTTTGATAACAAATATTTCTAAGGAAGTATACTTTTCTAGTAGCTCAAAAACTTATTTTTAGTATAATATTTTGGCTATCATTTTTTGAATCATAATTATTTAATAAAAGTTCATTAGTTTTTCAGTGTCCCATAGTTTTAAATATACACATATTCAAGAATGTATATTTTGAAGTTATAACGAATATCTAATATCAGTACATTAGTCATATGATCAATATCTTGTGAATTTTACTATATAATTATAACCAATATTTTAAATAAAAAAGAATAATTCATATAAGACAATAAAGGGAGCATAAATTCTGTTTATTTTTGTAAATATGTACCTTTTTTGTTTTCTATTTTTAAATTCTTTATGGATGATAGTATTTCAGCTTTGCAAGACTCCCTGAAACCAAAGTAACCAAAAATACTGTTCAACTGAATGATAGACATTTTAGTAGCCTACAAATTCATTTCTAGTTATTTGTTTGGAGTCTAGGTGTGTATTTTTAATAGGTGTTTATAACAAGTCATAGCACCAAAAAGAATTTAAATACTTAGAGAATCAAAGGATGAAACAATAATTTCTTTAAAAACTGTTTATAGCTTCTCAAAGTAATCCTAAAGATGTAGGAATCTGAGGATCACTTTTGGTATTATAGACAAAATATATCCATATTACCAAAAGTGATCTATAGATTTTCTGCAATCCCCATCAGAACACCAGTGAAATTCTTCATAAAACTAGAAAAAAATTATATAGAAGAATAAAAAATCCCGAAGGAACAAAGCAATGCAAATCTAAAAGAGGATTCCTAAAGGCATCTAAATATCTAACTTTAAGTTGTACTACAGAGCTGTAGTAACAAACTGCATGGTACAGCATAAAAAAAAAAAAAAAAAAAAAAACACATAGTACAGAATGAAAGCCACAGAGACAAATCTCCACATGTATAGTCATCTGATCCTTGACAAAGAAACCAAAAACATGCATTAGAGATAAGACAGCCTTTTTAACAAGTGATCCTGGGAATACTGATTATCTATATGTAGAAAAATGAGACGAGACCCTCATCTCTCAACCTGCACAAAATTAATTTAAAATGATTCAAAGACCTAGGAGTTAAACCAGAAACTTTGCAACTCCTAAAGCATAGGGTCAACACTTAAACATATGGGCATAGTCAATGACTTCCTCAATAGGACTCCTAAAGCTTGGGGGATACCACCAAGAATTAATAAATATGATGGCATCAAATTAAAAAGCTTCTGCACAGAAAAGGAAACAGGAATGTGAAAAGAGAACCTACAGAATGGAAGAAAATGTTTGGTAGCTACTCTTTGACAGAGGATTAATATCTAGAATATATAAAGAAACTTAACACAAAAATAAATAAATAAAAGAGAAAATGAACTAAACAGACACTTCTCCGAAGAAGAAATGCAAATGGGGCTGGGGATGTGGCTCAAGAGGTAGCACGCTCACCTGGCATGCGCAGGGGCTGGGTTCAATCCTCAGCACCACCGAAAACTAAAAAATAAATATTAAAAAATTCTCTCTCACTCTGTCTCTTTAAAAATGAAAAAGAAAAAGAAATACAAATGGCCAGCAAATATAAAAAAAAATGTTCAACATCATTATTGTTTAGGGAAATGCCATTCAAACATTGAGATTTCATCCTACTCAGAATAGCAGCCATAAAGAATACAATAATAAATGCTGGAGAGGATGTGGGGGAAAAGGGATACTTTCATACTGTTGGTGCTATTGTAAATTAATACAACCACTATGGAAGTAAATATGGAGTTTCCTATGAAGACTAGGAATGGAATCACCATATGACTCAGCTATACCACTCCTTGTATTTATGCTAAAGAATTAAAGTAAGCACACTATAGCAATACATGCATGCCCATGTTTAAAGCAGCACAGTTCACAATAGCCAAATTTTAAAAAACCAGCCTAGGGATTCATCAACAGATAAGAAAGTGTGGTGTTTATACACAATGAATTTTATTCCACTACCAAGAAGAATGAAATTATGTCATTTTGAAGAAAATGGTGAAACTTGAGAGCATTATGTTAAGTGAAATAAAGTCAAAGATATTTTTTTCTCATATATGGAAGCTAGAGAGAAAAAAGAGGAGACCTCATGAAAATAGAATGGGGATCAGTAGGGTAGAAGAGAACCAGGAGAAAGGAGAGGGGAGGGAATAGGGAGGCACTAGGGAACAAAATTGACCAAATCCTATTCTTCTGTTGTGTATATATACAGATATGTAACAAGAAATCCCACTATTAAGTATAATTAAAATGCACCAATAAAATTCTAATAAAAATGAAATAGGAAATAATGGCATAAAAAACAGGATATTGCTGAATATTCTACAAGATGATTATTAGCCTGGTCTGGCCTGGCAGGAACCATATTCTAGGTGCATGGCTAGGATGAAGCTATCTTCTCATCCTCCTACCCTATTCAATTGACCAATGCAAGGTCACTATAACCAATAGAAACCCCTTTGTCCTGAATTCTCTCTTTAACTAGTTCAACTGAGTATTATAACAGGAAATGCTTAAAGGAATTCTGTGTATTACTGCAGAACAGAGGAATACACATGGAAGGTTTTTAATGGGCCATGTGTGGAAATATTATACATCATTTATGTTTATATTCCATTAGAACTTAAGTGGTTATACCTAATTTCTAGAGTATTTGGAAATATAGTCAACTGGATGCTCTGTATCTCTCTGCCACATCCCCAAACAATGAAGAATTCCTTCAAGTGATATGAATCCATTACAGAAATACATTCAGTACAATGGCATAACATTCAAGAGTTAAGAAACATACCTTTAATCATCTTATTCCAACCCTCATTCTTTTGGGGGGGTAAGGGGGTCCCAAGAATTGAACTCAGGGGCACTCGACCACTGAGCCACATCCCCAGCCCTATTTTGTATATTACTTAGAGACAGTAGCTCACTGAGTTGCTTAGTGCCTTGCTTTTGCTGAGGCTGGCTTTGAACTGCAATCCTTCTGCCTCAGCCTCCCAAGCTGCTGGGATTACAGGTGTGCACCACTGCGCCTGGGCAACCCTCATTCTTATGGATTATATAGTACCCCCTTATCAATACTAGGATATTTCAGTGCTATAAAAAATAACATTTTCTTCACTGTATCACCTTTTCTTTTTGGTTACCAAATTATTTTTATTTTTTATTTTTTCGCAGTACTGGGGTTTGAACCCAGAGCCTCATGCATGTGTGTATTAGGCAAATAAACACTGAGCTAGAATCCCAGCCCCACCAATTTTTTTTTATTTGAGAAGTGACACAAAATATGTAGAAAATTCATAGTACAATGAAATATGATTTATATGGCATAGTAGCAAAGAACTGTGGAATTCCAGTAATAACATGACTAATTTTATTTGATACATGTATAACTTAATCAAAGGTTATCAACAACAGACATTTTTTTTCTTTTTTGAATGGCCACCCAAAATGAACAAATATTAACATGATGCTTGCTTTGGATTTTTTAAAGAAACTTGAAATTTTTAAATCATTTCAAAATCGTTGAAGTCCTTCACATTTTAATTCTTTCCTCCTCAGAGGCACTAACTAATATGCATATGTTTTATACATACTCCACATTTTAATTATAAAATATATCCAAAACCAATAAGGAGTTTTTTGGGGGTTCTGTTTTTACTTTGAATAGGCACTACAAGAAGCCTCTCTCCAAGGCTTCAAAAGGACACACTTTTTGAGACTCTTGGTCAGAAGCAACAACCAACCATTTTAGATCCCTGGAACCATAAATTTGATTACCCCAAGCGAAATATAGAACATCTGTGTACTTGGTAAATGTGGCAGTTTTTGAAGTAAAAAAATCTTAGCAAATCAGGACTTGAAGGGACTTCTTTTCAGAAATAACATGTATTTATAAAAAACCGATGGCCATTCAAAGGGAATAGAGCATCCACATTAAAATGAGGTACAAAGATTATAATTTTTATTCAACATTGTTTCGTGGTCCTAGCCATCACAGAAGGGTGGTGGGGAAAGCAGAAGAACTAAAAATGGAAAAGACAAAAAAAATATGTTCGGTGAGAAGAAATGTTAGTGGTTCACACAGCACTTGCTGCCATTGACACTCCATTTTCAATTTTTATAATCTTTTTACACATAGAAAAATAAAAGTTTTAATCTTGAAGTTATGATGGGACCCCAGCCACCAGTTATCTCTTAGCATACAAAAAGATACCTCATCATTCTAGAGATTCTAAGAGTCTTAGAAGCTCTTATGTTGGCACTTGGGACTAAGAATACCAAATATTATAACAAAGGATGTTTCTGTCACCCCTATTGAGACCTGGGCAAAGGACAGATAATCAGCTATTTAATGAATGATTGGGTCAGGAAGATGGGGCTAATTCAAAAGGAAATACAATGCTAATACCTCCAGAACACTTTCCCTTCCTCCCAACCTGTTGCCAAGGTTACCTTGCCTCCACAGAATTGTTCCTCCCAGCAAGGAATTGTTAATGAGTACCAGCTTGACCACTCCTTTCCTGCCTTTTTGGGCAGGTGTGGAAAGTAGGGAGAGGTACCCCTCTGTAGTTCTTTTCCCATCTTTATCATGAAGGCAGAATGGGAGGAGGGGGAGGGGGACATGATAAGAAAGGAAACCTGAAATCTCGGGCACCAGCTCTGGACCTCTTCCTCTCTGGAGGATTCATCACTCTTCTCTTTCTTAAATAAAATTTACTTTTTGTTCTTGCCTTGGCATTTCCAAGATGCTTAATCTTCAACACTGCAGGAATGAGGAGACCTAATCCTGATTTTAAAGACCAGTTTCACTATCACTGGGGAAGCTACAAAGATTTTAGGGGCTTTGTGTCAAGAATCAGGAATAGAGAGGAGATTCAAGATGCCAAGGTAGAGGGAAGCTACAGTCCTTATTACTTTGAGGCTCGAGATTCAAACAGCAGAAATACTGCTTCTCTGTGAGGTAGGTGAAAGAGGGATTTCACTAAAACCCAGTATTGGACAGTCAAAGTGTCTTAG